AGGGTTGAACTGTGGAGTCTTTGGTGCTCTCTGAGCTTGGTTGTTTGCTTGCAGACATTTTCATTATCCCACTAGATAACCTAATCAATGCTAGTGAGTGTCAAGTTTGCTCCCTGTTTATATACAGTAGCTTGCGTTGCCAGTGTTGGTTGGTTTGTCTGGTGTTAATCCCTGTTTATCTGGGTGTTGACTGCTGGAGAGGATGTGTTCTGGTCTTCTTGTTTCCTTATTAGTGTTTTTTATTCTCTCTTCTGAATGGTGTGTAAATCAGAACACATCCTCTCCAGTGTGCTCTGGACAGAAGAGGCAAAGATAGAGTTGGCCACAGTACCAGAAGACATGTTTGGCAAAAACCAAAGAGAGCATTTCACCAGAAGAACCTGATACCAACTGTAAAGCACGATGGTAGAAACATTATGCTTTGGGGCTGCTTTTTCTATATCAGGGCCTGGGCAGCTCACCATCCCAGAATCTGCTATGAATTCTTCATTGTACTAGAGGGTGCTTGAGGATAACGTGAGACCATCTGTCAGAAGATTGAAACTCAACCAGAAGTGGACATGCAACGTGACAATAACCCTAAACATTCCAGTATATCCACCACGGAATGACTGGGAAAAAAAAGAAAAAGAAATGGAGGATTCTAGAATGGCCAAGTCAAAGCCAAGATCTAAATTCCATCAAGATGCTGTGGGGCGATTTGAGACGGGCTGTGCGTGCAAGAAAACCCTCAAACATTACATAGCTGAAAAATTTGGCATGGAGGAGTGGGGAAAAATTCCTCCTAGTTCATGTTAGAGACTGATAGGTAGTTATAAGAAATCCCAAGGGTGTACTTACTTTTTTCCACAGAAAGAAATGGCTCCTTCCGGTTCTGCTGCCCAGACAGTCCCTCCCACACAGCCTCCACCTTCGCCAGGGGAGCTGCCACCAGCTCTCCTACCTTGCCCGGCAACAGAGAGCACCATGCCTTGCCGTCTACTGCCTCCTCCCTGGCTGGGTCTGGCAAGCTCCCTTTGGCAGAAGAGGCTCTGCCATCCTGCCATGCTTGCTGTGCGCATCCCATGGCTGCACCCTTGCCAAGGGCCTGGATCCCAGGCCAGCAGCAGGAGGAAGATGTGAGGTCAGCTGCAGGCAGCAGGGTTGGCAGGAGTAGATGGCAGATTGCAGGGCAGCCAAAAGGGCAGAGATGGGGGAAAGATAGGCAGGTTGGAGAAGTTGATGCAAAGGTGAGCATGGCAGGGCAGGAGAAGTGTGAGGCCCCAGCCTGACGGCGGCACTGTCCTGGCCTAATGACTGCAACTGGGACTACTAGAACTGCCATTGCTAAGCGGTACAGTCATATGATGTTTCGCCTAACAACCACATCATTTAGCAAAGGAAATTTCAGTCCCAATTGTGGTGGTAAGCTGAGGACTATCTGTAGATTTTTTTCCCTATAGATAAGCTGTAGGTATCTGGGGATTCTGCTGCAGGGATTTCAGAAAAGTTATTGTCTTGGAGTATTGCTGGTTTTGTGGGAAAAGTTCCTACCCTTAAAAAGAACCAAATTATTTGGAGATACACAACAAAGTTTATTTGGGTATACAGAAACAGGGATCACTGGGCTCCCAGCTGGAAATCTAAAGTCTTCAGAATATATAGATTATATAGTAGAAGGAAGGGTACTTTGTGAAACCCCATCTTCTCTCTATAGTACTATAAGATGTCATGCCTAATTAATATTTGACCCCAATTACATACACAGCATTATATAAAGCCAAATCAGAGGATCTGTTGGCCTTGGTCATCCCGCTGCTGCCTCCTTTCTGCATTTCCAATGTTGGGCTTCTTTTCCATTTCTCCAGGAATCAGCAACAGAATAGCTCTGGGGTCTCCCATGTTTTATGATGCCAATGAGAGGACCTTCTTCACACTCAGGAAATACCAGTCTGATTTGGGTTAATTTGTCTCTTTTCCCTCAGGGTGATCCCTGATTGGGTCTCACCTAACCGCTCCATCTTGGAAGGACAAATTCTTCCAGACACTTCTATGTAATAGAAATCAATAAAGTTCTTAAAAATAACCATGTGAGATTTATGCTACCATATAGCCAAGCTAACCCTGCACCTCCACATGGACGTGGATTTCATGACGTTTTTGTCCTTTCGTACAGATGTGGAAAGTATCATTTTTGAAGTTATCTTTACCCACTTGTTCTGTTATATTTAAAATTTCCCCCATAAGAGTTCTGGTTGATAGGTTATTATGAGACCTTCATTCTTACATCTAATATTGGCTAATATGAGGGAGTTAACTGTGAAGAGGGAAGGGCTGAACAGAGAGGGGCAGAACTGAGGAGAGGCTGCTGTTTTCTAAATGCTGCTGATTGTGCATTTATTTTTTACAGTCATTTATAAACGATCTCAAGGCTACTTTAAGTGATGTACAATAAAAACTGCAGTCAATACAACAATAACAACGTACAATTCATTTGCAGAATCCAAATAAGTGGATAGTGTTCTTTGTACTTCAGTCATATCTGTGGGCTTGATCTACTCTTTTCCAGGTTCCTTTGGGTGACTAGGTGGAGTATGATATGATGAATTCAGAGATTAAAACTTCAGAGGGAAGAGGAAATGTTTACTTTGAAAGAATCAGTAGTGTGCCTTCTCTTGAAGTCATCCTTCGATCCAGCTGTTCGATAACTTTCAACCAGTCTCCAATTTTCCCTTTTTAGGGACCCAATTATAGAGGATCCTCTAGAAAACTGATTACTTCAACTGTTTCCAGTTAGGCCCAGTTGTGGGACTGAAACAGCACTAGTCACTCTTGTGGATGATCTTTATCAGAACCTGTGGAGTGGAGGGTGGGGGAGTGACACTCATAGTAGCATTCAGTACCATCAAGCATAGATTTATTCTGGACCACCAGCAAAAAGTAGGACACTGATTTATACTGGTTCTACTCTTACCATAACTCACTAGTGGACATAGGGAGGAGAGCTTATGTCCATGGATTCTCCAATTTGGGACACTATAGAACTTGATGCTCTCACCTATGTTTTTAAACATCAGTGGTTCATTGGGAAAACTATTGTCTTTGGGGCTGTGAGAGTTTGGATAAGGTCAAACAAGCTCAAACACTATGGAGAAGGAGTTGCTATTTTTCAGTAAACAATATAGCAATCCAATAACAGTGGCCCTGGTATTCCCACCAAAAGTGCTTTGTGATATGGAGTTCCCCTGGGATGTTGCCTGGTGCTTAAGCAGCAAGTGGACATCATGGCTGGGGGTAGAAGCTTTACCTAATTTTAGTTAGTGCCCCAGTTAAGACTCTACCTAGATGGGGATACCTTGATATTAACTTGGGCCCTGATTACCATGTAGCTGAATTACACACATGAAGTGTACACAGGGCTACCTTTGTGGGCAATGTGGAAGCTGAGGCTGATAACAGATGGCTAGACTGCTAGTGGGAACACGGCAAGTATAGATTAGCACCAGTTTTGAAGTCACTGTGTCAAAAGCATCAATAGGCTTTTGGGCCTATTTAAAGTGCTGGTCATTGTTCTACAGCCCTATACAATGCAGTATTGGGATAAGTCAGCCAATGCCTTGCTAGAATTGAATTTGCCCATGTAGCCTGACCATCTAGCAAAGGCCTGCTGAGAATCCCTTCTCCATACCACACCACACTTCCAGCAGATGCATGTGCCCCTTGACAAGCCTTCACTCTGGTAGTTTCCTCCCTCAGAGACTTTCCCCAGAGATAGACGCAACCCCAACCCTTCTTGCATTTTGCAAGCAAGTAAAATCTCTACTATTCCCATTTGCTTTGTCCTAGTTAACCGAATGGCTCATAGCAATGTTTGCTTGTATCGGTTGGGATTTTTTGCTCTATTTTGGTTTTGTGATTTTTTTTGTCTTTTCTCCTTATAAATTGGGGCAGGCTACAAATACTCTTAAATTTAATAAAATTTACCACTCTTCACTTGTTTGATTTTAAAAATGAAGTGTTCAAGAAGCAAGTGGAAATGTCTCGACTGGTAGATTTACATGGAGAAGCTCTCCTAAGTTATTGGCAGGCTTTTGATTGTCCAGCACTGAAAAAAATATGATAGAGTCCCCTATTGTAGCACAGTAACTAAAGCACAGAATATGGCTTTGAGTAAGGATGCTCGCCATTCACCCTTAGTGGCTATAAATTACATTTCCTTGCATTTCCAGAGTTAGAAAAACATTCTGTATATACAGGTGAAACTTGAAAAATTAGAATATCGTACAAATGTTCATTTATGTCAGTATGACAACTCAAAAGGTGAAACCAATATAATGAAGTA